GAGAGAGAGAGAGAGAGAGAGAGAGAGAGAGAGAGAGAGAGAGAGAGAGAGTCATTCTACACTGCGAAGGGTTTCTCTGAAGGAAAGCCTCAACAACTATCGGCCCAATCCCTGTGGGCTACCGCCTTCACCCGAATAGAACGCCCGGTCATTAAAGGCTTCATAGCTGTCTTATTTTGGTGCACCTTTCAGTCTAGATGTGGCGATAAAAGTTGGGCGTTCTATTTGGATGAAGACGGTCGAGAGAGATCAAGGCAACTTAGTGAAGCTATTATTTACGTGTATTGCCTGCCTGGATGCTGAGAAGAATCTGGCTTACCTGCACCTCTGGACCAAGGTGGACCAAGGTGGACCAAGGTGGACCGAGGTGGACCAAGGTGGACCAAGGTGGACCAAGGTGAACCAAGGTGGACCAAGGTCCAGGCTTTAGTCCAGGTACAAACCCGCTTCGACAACCTGTATGATAAAAGTTTGCAGAGCTATGAGGTGTTTACTTGTGAAAAATGTAAGCCCCTTGGGGCAGCTGCACAGTAAAGAGCGCCTACACCCCGCAGGTCGGTTATATCGCTAAAGGGTCATGGTGCGTGAACTGGCCACCTGCCGTCTTTCCCCGAATAGAACATACGGTCATTATCCATGTATCTAGACTGAAAGTTGCACCAAATATGGGTGTAATCACTGTAATGACCATATGTTCTATTTGGGCAAAGAGTCGAAGACGGTAATCATGTACCATGATCCAAGCCGTTGTGGCTCCATCTTGGGTCACCGTGAGACTCTCCCATCTGCCCTGCCAGAGGAGCTATCACCGCCTCTGCCCCTCGCCTCTGCCCCTGAATAGCATAGCATAGCATTGTTCGTGATCCTAGCGGCATCTCCTTTGTAGCTCATCCCCCTAGGTGCGAGGCTGTCCGCTTAGATGTGAGTGCATCTGTGCGGATACTCGTCTTCTGCGGAGTGGTTGATCTACTCTTGCTTGGCCTTTCTGATGTGGCTGCTCCGAACTTCAGGGGCCTCTTTGGTGTCGCTGCTCCTGACTTGGACAAGGGGCGTCCTTTGGCGGATAGACTATGTGATTGAACTGCTGAAATGGACTTACCGTCTGCAGTCTGGTCTTTCGGCTCGAGTGTATTACTGTCCGAACAAGTGGCTGCCAGGATGGCTTTGACTGCAGCAAACTCAAGGCTTGGGCCAGAAGTAGTTTTGCTGCTTTCCTCCACGTCACTGAAGTTATCTCCCATAACCACTTGCTCAGCAGACAACTCCATTCGTATCGTGGAGGAAATGGAACCTGATTCGGCAGAACGGGATGGAGTACTGTTTTCGGTGGGAGAGAACCTGAGAAAACCCTTAGGGGTATTTGAGGAAGAGCTATCGCTCGGTGCAGGAATAGGTTGCAGCGATGGCTGGACTGCGGTAGCTGTGGAATTTTTACCCTCAGTGGCAACTGAATGCCAATCCAAAGACGATGACAGGTCAGGATGCGCATGCGGCCGTTCACCATGACGAGATGGGTCAGTCTGATCAGGAGGTGAAGAATGCTTGTGCAGCTTGGTTGGCAGTTCATCTACCACTTGGCTGGATGGTTCAGCCAAAACCATATTGACAACCTGAGCGGGAGACGCCTCCCCCCTTCCCACACCGCTTGCCAGTCCATCTGCCACTTTATTGGACGGTTCCGGCAAAAACATTGTGACAGACTGCTGAGTGGTCGATGCCTTCCCTCGCACACCACTGCCATCCCTACCTAGGATCCCAGCTCGCTCACTGGACAGAAGCTCCGGCGTTCGAGCTACATGATCAGCCCCACCAGTCAATTTCAATGTTACTGCCTTGGAGGCCTCTCCATCCACCTCACTGCGGATTTCAACAACGTTAGAACGCTTACCTTCATTTTTTTGGCCGCCTCCTGGCTGAAAGAGACTGTTCACTTGGGCCTGCGACTTCACGGGTGAGCTGCGACCTTTCGGGTCGGCAGCAGTTGGTGCCTTTGGGCCGTGCAAAAGAGATCGTTGGAGAACCAGATCTTTCACGCTCACCTGAGCAAGAATCGGGGGCTGGTCGTCAGTGTCACTCTCCAAGGGCGGCGACCATCTTCCACTTCCTGACGCACTTGGTTGTGGGTGCATCTGGTTTCCTTCTCGGTCAGATACTTGGTCAGAGCTAGGCATGTTATGCATATTATGTGTGGGTGGAGGGTCTTCCCTGTTTCTTTCCCGAGTAAAGAGAGGATTCGTCCTACGCATGCTAGGGGCACGTGAAGCAACTGCCGCCTGCTTGGAAGAACAGCAAGAACAGGAACACATAGAGCGCTTCAGAATCTCTTCCCCGACACCAGAATCTGGCGGACTCTTCTGTTGAATGCTGCTGCTGTCAGACAAAGGTGGGGACGTACCCTGCAGCGGATGGCTCTCTGCATCACCTGTTTCTCTTGCATCGGGTGATGGCACGCTGCAAATGACCTTCGAGGCAAACCAAACCACGATGACCAAAATAACGCCCAGAAGTGCAGTCAAGGTCACAACCCATATGGCCTTCTTCATTGATGGCTGCCTCATTTCTGTGGTGTTTGAGGCTTTAGATCCCAAGCTCCCTTGAGCTGCTGACGTCGCCAGGGAAGCTTCCATCCCAAATGCTGCTGCAGATGGTACTCCTGGAGCTTGAGTCACATGTGTCATCATGACCAAGAGCACAGCTGCTGATGGCATCAAAGAGGCTTGTGCGAACCATGTACAAAGCACAGAATAAGGTTTCTTCTGAAAGAACTTGTTCGTCGCAGGAGGATCAAGTAACTGTCTTCTTTGTACAAAAGCAGCTTCATCAATGAGGTCCTTCACGCGGCCCAGAGCGACACCGTCGGCAAATTCTTGTGTGGGTACTTCACCCACCACCAGACCCCACATCTTGTTCGCTATGCATGCAGATTGTGCCGCCAAGACCCAAAAAAAAACAAAAAACAAAAGGATGTGCCAAGACCGCGAACTTGCCAGCCTTCTTGACTGCAGTTTTGGAGTTCACCATATCGTTGACAAGAATACTCATCCTCGCCATGAGCTTCGCAACTGCTTGCTGCAAAAACGCAAAGGACGATGCCCAATGGTATCGCCCTTTGAAGAGTTCTGCAGCTTGCTGCCATCATATCACTGTCTCACTGCAGAATCAGGAATCATAGAAACTGGGACTACCGTCTGCACCCGAATAGAACGCCCGGTCATCATATCTGTATTACTGTCTGGTGCAATTTTTTCAGTCCAGATGCAGCGACAATGACTGGGCGATCCATTCGGGTGATGACCGTAGCCTGTCCATGAAACCACATACATCGTCCAGAGCAACACATTCGTTCCACGTCCTGCTTACTGAAGTTCTTGTTCCGGTTGAGCTTCCTGACCGAGTAAGCGGTTCACTGCTGTATGGACGGCTGACTATTCGAGGGACTATTTTCAGATCCAGCTGGTATCCAAGCTCATAAAGTCAACAGGACAACGGAGGATGCCTGGTGAGATTTACTCCATCCACACGAGCTTGTGATGCAAAATGCGCGAGTGTGTAACACTGCAGTCAGGTGACGATGCAAGCAGCAGGAGATGGACACGTTAGACGGCATCTACAGTGTAAAATTAGAAAGATTGTCTTCACATGCAACACTAAACCATGCGATTATGCAGCACATAGTACCACAGCATGCCACACTTCATATTTGCTGCACGCTTGGCCATGCTATGAAAGTATGAATAGAAGTTCAGAATGGCAGTAGTCATTGGCTCCACAACACCAAACAGAGTAAGGATAGGGCTCAGGGGAGATCCATTAGCTAACAGGCATCACTTTCAACCAAAAGTCCGAATTGCATAGTGAACCGCATAAGAGTTGGAGAGTCCCTCTCTCTCCCAAGGATTTCATGGACAACGTATGCACAAGGGGGCTCACAGACGGGAGAGGAGAGAGAGAGAACACCTCGCCACAGAGACCCCTAATCATGGTTACATGAACGTGTAAGCCTAGATGCACATAAGGTTAGGGATGAGTGGCCTCGTGATTTCAGGCTCTGCTCTAGCCACAGCAGTGCTAATGTGGCACTCGGTCAGTCCCTGGTTGACTCAGATCCACCGAATTATTGAAGTCTTGTCCTAGCCACAGCAGCAAGAGTCCCAGCAGCGGAAGGAGCAGGAGTGGCAGCAGCACTTGCAGTACTGGCAGCAGATGGGCCAACAATAGCGGTAATCGCGTAGTTGTGGTGGTTGTTGTAGTGGTAGTCATCATAGTAGTAGTAGTAGTAGTAGTAGTAGTAGTAGTAGTAGTAGTAGTAGTAGTAGCAGCGGCAGCAGTAGAAGCAGCACTAGTAGTAGCAGCAGCAGTAGTAGGCTAGTAGCAGCAGTTGTAGTAGCAGCAGTTGTAGTAGCAGCACCGGTAATAGTAGCAGCAGTAGTCTCAGCAGCAGCCGCAGTAGCAGTAGCAGTAGTAGTAGCAGTAGCAGTAGCAGTAGCAGTAGTGTTGGTGGTAGTAGTAGTGGTTGTAGTAGTGGTGGTGGTAGTAGTGGTGGTGGCAGTAGTGGTGGTAGTAGTAGTAGTTGTAGTAATAGTGGTGGTAGTCGTTGTAGTAGTGGTGGTAGTGGCAATAGTAGTCGTAGTGGTAGTGGTAGTAGTAGTAGCAGTAGTAGTAGAGGTGGTAGTAGTAGCAGTGGTGGTCATGGTAGTGGTCGTGGTAGGGGTGGTGGTACGGGTGGTGGTACGGGTAGTGGCAGCAGTAGTGGCAGCAGTAGCGGCGGGAGTAGTGGCGGTGGGAGTAGTGGTGGCGGAGGGAGTGGTAGTAGTGGAGGGACGAGAGTAGCAGCACTACTACTACTACTACTACTACTACTACTACTACTACTACTGCTACTACTACTACTACTACTACTACTACCACTACTACCACTACCACTACCACTACCACTACCACTACTACTACCACTACCACCACTACCACTACCACTACTACCACTACCACTACTAGCAGTAGTAGCAGTAGTACAGTAGTAGCAGTAGTGGTGGTAGTGGTGGTAGTAGTGGTGGTAGTGGTGGTGGTGGTGGTGGTGGTAGTGGTGGTAGTGGTGGTAGTGGTAGTGCTAGTGGTAATAGTAGTAGTAGTAGTAGTAGCAGTAGTAGTAGTAGTAGTAGTAGTAGTAGTAGTAGTAGTAGTAGCAGTAGTAGCAGTAGTAGTAGCAGTAGTAGTAGCAGCAGTAGTAGTAGTAGCAGTAGTAGTAGTAGCAGTAGGAGGAGCAAGTAGAAGTAGTAGTAGTTCTGGATTGTCACTTGTCTCTTGAGCGATTGTTCGATTCTGCGTAACATCTGTGATAATGTATAAAATTGTAACTGGATGGATAATTGACATTATTAATGGTATTGCATGACAGATATCCCATGTCTGCGATGTGTGTGTGGTCTTTGTCCGATGGTTGGTGAGTGAAAAGCTTGCATGATTGGTGGCTCTGTAAAGAAGACCATGTTTGCTTAATAATGTCAGTTTAGCTGCCATGAATCTTGTGCCGGTCCTGCAATCAAAACCCCAGTTCCAGAAACTTGTTGTGGTTTCCATACCGTGATTGTTGAAAACGTGTATGGAATGGGACGTAAGGGAAGCTGTGGGACAAATGACTAAACCCTAAACCCTAAACCTTGTTTTTCCGACTGTTAGCAAGAAGACTGAACAGGCATTTCGTTAAAACTGTGCTCTTTTCCATTTTGTAGTTTGTACATCAGGATTCAGGAACCTGGAGAGGTCCATCATGGGCCATTTTTTTTTAATGATGGGTCTCCTTCTTCTTTTGTGATAGATGAATGGTGGTTGTGACAAAAAGAAAAGACAAGATGATAGGTAGTCCCATCAACCTCGTATCACCAATAAAATGGCCAGTAACAGAAGGAGGAGGAGGAGCAGGAGGCCACTACTGCTACCACTACTGCTGCCACTACTGCTATCAACGTTAAACCACCTGTACTTGGCCCAGCTATCGATGCCGAGCCTGCACGCCAGCCCTCGGAGGTCGACAAAGCGACATGGGCTGTTAATGCGATTTATCCACGGCCCACAGGCCACGAAATTTGCATAGCGTTAACGCTAAGGGCCCGCGGCCGATGTGTGGGCCAAGTACTGGTGGTTTAAGAAAAGAAGTCCTTCGGGACATCCATTTTTCACATTCAGGAAAGAAAAAAGGCCAGTCACCAGAGTTTCCCGGGGCGCCCGGCCGGGCGCCCCGGGCGCCACGCCCAGGTAGGGACCTCGCCCGGGGTACCCCGGGCATGAAAAAAAAACACTGAATTTTTTTATTTTTTATTTTTGGCCTGCAGGGCCTTGCTGCGCTTTCCAAGTACAGCCCAAATCC